TTATGGGGCAGTATGGGGTACAGCAGCGTATACATGGGTTTCCCAAAGTGGAACCACGAGCAAAGGAGAAAGGAGCAGGCGCTGGGCCTGGTGAGCAACGTGGTGTGTCAGATCCTGTGCTGAGTGTGGCCAGCGATCCAGAGATGAATCCCACTCAGGTCTGTCCTCCAAGGAGGTCCCAGTAAGGTAGGCTGTGGACGAGGAGGAACCGTGCTCCCCACAGCACTGGAAGGAGTTTCCAGCCTTGAGGTGAGAGGCAGCATGTGCTTCCTAGAAAGACTTCCTTCTCCGCTGCCATACCAGAGCCAACTGCCACCCTCCTCTGGGCCACTACGGAAACCCCTGCCTCTCCCCAGCCTCCTGCCTCCACTCTCTAGTCCCTTCCCCATGAAGCAACCAGAGTCAGCGTGTCAGATGTCAAGTTCTTCCCTACCAAACTAATGGACAGAGGCAATGAAGGGAAGCTGCCACAAGTGACAGAGGATGCTAAGTGGACGACACATGCTTCCTGAGGGAAGAAGACGGTGACACCCAGGAAATGATTTTGAAAAAACAACAGAATAAAACATCACAGCTAAATCTGATCAAGCCTCTCTAGATCCAGCTACTGATTTTCAGGAAAGACAGGTGGCCAGGGGAACACGTTTAATCAATTCCACCGCAGGATGCAATCAGCAAAAACCCAGTCTCTGGGAAACACCACAGGACAATGGTTCCAAGAAATATAACGCAGAGGAGAAAAGTCAAGGAGAGAGAGATGGTGGGGAAATTCTACAGGAAAGACTTCAAATTTATGAGACGATTTGAACACCAACTAGGTATTTGATAGTAAGAAATTGTTCAATTTTCTAGTATGGTTTTTTTTAAAAAGCATTGTTATCTGTTAGAGACACAGAGTGAAAAATCTATGGATGAAATAAGAGAACAGCTGGAAGTGACTCCAAAATAATACGATTCCAAATAATACGGCCCATGAAACACGACAGCTCTGAGTTGACAACTACTGGAGCACAGTGATGGGCACATGGGGATTCATCATGCACGTCAAGCTAGATGCTTCTAGGTACTTTCCGGAGAGAAGAGAAAACAAAAGTAAAGGCGATCCTGTCATTCACACCTTCAGTTTGCTTTCCATCATTTAAAAAAAAAAAAAATAGGAAAGCTCATACCCAGGGGACAATGACCTACCTGCAGGACCTGCCCCTGCTCACTGCTCCTTACCTTACTCTTACCTCCTATGAGTCACTCCCTCACTCGCTCCACTCCAGGCAGCCTCCTGGCTGCTCCCTGACCGCCACTGGCCCACCCCCACCTCAGGCCATCGCTCAGCTGGTCACTCTATCTAGAACACTCTGCCCCAGCCATCTACACGTCTACTCCCTTCCTTCAGGCAGGTCTCTTCCCTGAGAGGCTTTCCTTGATCACCCTACATGAAAAACTGGCATAGGATGGTCACAGGGGATATCAAGCTCAATTGGCATAACATACTACCCCAAAACATTGTTCTACATCCTACTTTGGTAAATAGCAACTGGGGTCTTAAAAGCTTGCAAGAGGGCATCTAGATGCAACAATGGGTCTTCATCCAGAGCAAAGAAGAATGAAGAAAAACAAAGATGCATAGAAACAGGTGGTCCAGGGACTAATGGCCATGTGATCCTCAGTCTATATGACCACGAGACCGGAAGAAGTAGGTGGTGCCCAGCTATCACCGTCAACCACTCAGAAAAGCAGGAGTGCAGGAGATTCTGGATAGAGTTGGAGAACAATGTGGAACAAAACTCAAAATCATAAAAAAGACCAAGTTTATTGGTCTGATGGAGCCTGGTGAAACCCCCAAGGCTATGGCCCCAAGTCAGGTCTGGAATTGAACTCACTCCTGTGCCTTCCAGCCAAACACAGACAAGTATATAGAGTGAACATCTATATGAGATAGATACACTCCTTAAAAGACCAATCACGGGACATCAGAAGGGCAGTATTTGTACAAGATAGCTTAGGGGGCAGGAATGCACAGGAAAAGAAGGACACAGGGAAGAGGTAACTACAGGGAGATAGTAGGGAGAGAGCTATTAAGTTGTGGGGAATTTGCTGTCAATATCATGAAATAAACTGTGTATGAACAGTTCATACAGAAAATGAGTCTGCTCTGTGAACTTTCATCCAAATCACAATAAAAACGAAAAAAAAAAAAAGAAAAACTGATATAGAGATAGCATTTTCCATTACTCTCCACCCCTTCCCGTTTCGTTCTTCTTCATTGCTGACATCTGAACTGTCTCTCTCTCCTGGCTTTCTCTCCTCACCAGAACAACCTCCATAGGGCAGGGGCCTCTTACCCCTGTAGTGCCTGCCACACAGCACACAAAACCACTGCCTTTCTGACTCACAGCAACCCCCACTGGGTTTCCAAGGCAGTAAATCTTTCCCAAAGTAGACTGTCCCATCTTCCTTCCCTGGAGTGGCTGGTGCGTTTGAACCACCAAACTTCTGGTTAGGAGTCAAATGCCTTAGACACTGCACCACCAGGGCTCCTTAGCACATAGTAGGTGCTCTACAAACACAGATGGAATGAACAAATACACAAATGCATGGGCTTTATGAGATGATTTTCAGCACAGCTCTGCCTCTCGTCACTCCAGACTGGCAACTTCCTTTCCCTCAGCCTATTTCCTCCTTTGCACACAAGGGGACACCTCTACCTCAAGGGCCAGCTTGAGAACGCAAAGTCAGGCACGGAACACACTCAGCACAGTACCCACTGGATGGCCCTGAGAGGGAGGTGGAAACTCAGAGGCCCAAGCTAGAAGCCCACAATTCCCCTTTTCTCACACATGTGGGGGCTCAGTCTAGTTCTACCCCCGAGAGGCCGGGTAGCTGGCATGCCTAGCTGGCACAGGGGAGGTGAGGCAAGAATGGCAGGCCTCTTTAAGTCAGGTCAAGAGGGGCCTCCTTCCAGTGGGGGACTGGACCTCCCTGAAGGGAAGTCACCCATCCCCATTTGTCAGAGGGGAAAACTAAGGCACAAGTGGGATAATCGCACTCTAGCCCCACCCTGCCTGGTGAGTCAGCAGTCAGACCTGCTCCCCTGCCCTCCCCCAACCCAAGATCCAGCCACAGCCCAGTAAACCACCACCCTGCCATGACCCAGCCCTCAGGAAATAGACCTGAGCTTGGTCTAAGATCCCACCCTAGCCCAGCTGGCCCTGCTCCTATCTTCCCCTAGGCAGTGGCTCCCACTGCCTGCCCACCAGCAGAGACAGCCTAGTGGCTCTGGTAATTGCTGCCTGAATCTTGGGACCATAACTATCAGGTAGCCACCAAAGAGCAGTCTGAGGATACAGGGGTAGCTAGTAGCCCCACTGGTCTGTTCCTCCTGCCGACTCTTGGCACAGGTATCTGTGGCCTCATCCACAAAGGGAGTGTGATGATGGAAGGAGGCAGGTGTACATGCTTTGTAGGCTGGGGACAGATGGCCGAGGTCTTCTGAGGGACCCAAGATGCCCACAGCCTAGATCTTTCTGGCTGTACTTAATCACATACATCCTCGGCCTGAGCATCCTACCAGCATCTCCTCAGACTCCTGACCACCAGCTCCCTTCCCCATGGAGCTCTTCCCCAGAACCTTTCAACCTGTCCACCTGTGCTCCCTCTGCCTCCACGGAGACTTCTTGTCCCCTCACATCCTTCGCTGTCAGTTCTAGGGGTGCTTTCCCAGATCTCACAGGCCACATGACTCTGCCCCCTTCCTTGGTTCGTCTTTCTTTAGTGCACTGATCCCTGACATCATACGACAGGTTGGTTCCTTTGTGGGCCATCTGCCTCCCTAACCATTATGCAAACTCCTCAAGGTCAGACACTTTCCTCTTCTGGTCCAACTCTTGTGTCCTCAATGCCTGGGACAGTGCCTGGTGTACAATGTTGCTCAGTACTAAAAACTAGGTAAAGGGACAAACGAATGACTCATTCCTCAGTTCCCTATCACCTCAGGACAAAAGTCTAAACTTCAGCATGGTATTCAGGGCTGCTGCCTCTTCATCTTCCCATGCCCCCACCCACAGAGCCTCCACCCTGCTGTCTACATTGTGTGTGTCCCTCTGCCAGGAAGACCCCTCCCCATGTCCTCGCCCAGCTTCCTCCAGCTGCTGAGATCACACTGCTCACAGGGAACTTTCACATGGAAACCAAGGCCAGCCAGACATCTCCCCTGCACATGACAAAGCCCCGTACTTATACTGCTTGTGGCGCCCACTGCCACACTGGCCCTACAACTACTTTCCACTTCTGTCTCTCCTGTAGCTGGGAGCTCTGGAAGCTGGGTGAAGTGGGGCACAGGGGACAACACATGGACCAGATGTGACCTGCATCCCCAGGCTTGCTCAACACAGAGCACTCACTGCTATGGCCTCTGCCCAAGCACACTGCACGGTGACAGAGAGTAACAGCAAACGCTCACGAAGCACATGCCCCTGCTGGACACCGTTCTAAGAGTACTACGCCAATTTTTTGTTACATCCACCTAGTTGAGTGGTGCCATTATCAACCTCATGTTACAGATATGGAGGCACAGAGAGGTTCAGTCACTTGCCCAAAGTCAGATATCTCGTAAGTTCCAAGGCCAGGATGTGACTAGGCAGCCTGATCCAGGGTCCTTCTTCTTCTCCCCTACAATCCTCCACCACTGCAGAAGAGACAACTGGCGGACAGGGAGCCCCCTGCACTGTTTGCTGAACACACAAACAAAACTGGAGCACGGGGTTGACAGAGAAAGCTTCCTGAAGGAAGTGGCACACAATTTGATCCTCCAAAGACAGAATACAGACCAGCAAGATGGCAAAAGAAAGGCCAGGAATTCCACTGTACTGAACGGGTGGGTGAGAGCTGCTGCCTACCCACTACAGGTGTCTCACCCCAGGCAAATGCTGGTTTCTTCTGCCCTCTGACCCCACAACCTGCCCCAGGTAGTAGGCATGCACTCCCCAAGACCCACAGACACCTACCACAGGTCACTTTGCCTTCCGAGCTGGGCCTGGCTGGCTCCTGCTGCGCCTGGGGGGGAACGGGGACCCCTCTCTGCCGCCGTCTAGCACCACCACTGGGCCGCCCCCGGCTCCGCCGCTGCCGCTTGGTTGGTGGGGAGCCTGAGGAGAAGATGGGACAAGGTGAAAACGAGGTGATGGAGAATGCCAAGAGGGTGCCTGGGAAAGAGCTCAAGGCTGGTCGGGGTGCTATGAGACCTCAGGCAAGCCCTTCTGCCTCTCTGGGCCTCAGTGGCCCTGTCTTTAAGATAAGGAGTGCAACCTAACATCACCTAGAAGGTCAGAGGAGTACACTCAGCTACCCCACAATCCCAATGCTAGGACACCAGTAACCAGCAGGACAACAGCCACTGGGGTACCACTTACGACCATAAAAGCTTGAAAACGATATAAATGCTGAAAAGAAAAATCAGCATACATAGTCATCTTTAGGATAGGTTTTCTAGTAAAATAAAGCAAGAAGCAAACCATATGTCTGCATGGTTTGTGCAAAAAGGAAGGAAAATAAAACTATACAATTTTGTTATTTTTGCACAATAAAACACTGGAAAGATGAATTAGAAATGGGGGATGGAAACAGAAATTAGAAATAGAGATGGAAATGAGACTTCTAAAACAGACTTCTAATTTAGTCTTGACTTGAATCCTGGTACTCTTTCACGTGTTCAAAAAATTAAAAAGAAACAAACCATAAAACTAAATATAAACAGAAGCAGATGAACCTAACCAGAAAGAATTGGTAACAGGAAAAAAGAATTATTTCCAGTAACTTGGAAGAATATTCTGACTGTCCACTCAGTGGGATATGGGCCACCACAGAGAAATCCTATCTTAACTCAGAGCTGGTCAACACTGATGATGAGAGGGCAATTTTGAAACTTTGCTGGGTTTTTTTTTAAGATAAAGTAAATAAGCCTACATATTAACGTTACTAAAAACCAGTACCTTCAGCATAAGAAAATAAAGTCCCTGGAATGCTCGTTTTGGCTTGCAAGCAGTAGCATGAACTTTTCAAGCAGCACAGTTCCTTTGTCACTGAGAGCATCTAGAAACAGGCACGCTTACTGTTTGTCTGCACCTCAGCCTCTAGGAGAAACCATGGCTCCTTAAGAAACTGCTGATTGTACATCTGAGGAAGGGAAAGAATAAGGCAAGCCCAAGATACCTCGCAGTACCACAAAGCTGGAAGCACTCAAAGAATGACAGAACACAAAAATAGCCACTTGGAATACAACAAAGACTGACTGATAAAACATAGTAAAACTAAGAAAACAGCGTAATAAACACAAACTAAACCCCAACTCACTGCCGTCGAGTTGATCCGACTCACAGCGACCCTTCCTTGGGTTTCTGAGACGGTAGCATCTCCATGGAAGTAGATTGCCCAACCTTCCTTCTGAGGAATGGCTGGTGGGTTTGAACTGCCAGCCTTCTGGTTAGCAATCAAATGCCTCAGGCACTACGCCATCAGAGCTCCTCAAAGAAAAATGCTCGAGTCCATAGTGATGCTCAAAAAGAACAACAAAAAAGGAAAACTTATTTGGAAAGAATTCCAGCTGATAGAGGTAGAAAAAGGATCAGGATTTACAAAGTCAGCATTTTTCAAACACCAAAATGGTAACTCAGTCACCGACAGATGTTACACCTATTGAATGAATGGCTATACCATCCCTTAGATCATTTACTGTTAGAGCAAAGAATCTTCCTTTATACAGACAAATACGGCAAACACCTTCTTAACCAAAGGATCAAACTTTCCCACTCCCAGTGGGAAAACCAGACCTTCCGTGGCTCCTGATACGCTCTGATACAAAGGACACAGCACCTCCAGCAGAGGCATCCTGTCAAAATGTGTAACTCCATCCACCCAAGTCTCTAGACCCAATACCCACTTACAGGAAATACAGGGGACAGAGGAACGAGTTAAAGGACACCACTAGGAAATATGCAGACACATCTAGAATAACTGGAACGTTCCATAAAACAACTGGCTGGTCGGATCAAGTAGAAGTCATAGGGGAAACCAAAAGAAAAAGCTATTGGGGAGGAGAATTCTGTTCTTTAGTAAGAGATCAAAGACTCAACAATTGCATGTAATATTTGATTTATGAACCGGTTCTAAAGCTGGGACACTTGGGGAGATTCAAGAAGGGACCACTCGTACACTACCAAAAGCCCACTGCCATTGAGTCAATTCCAACTCAGAGAGACCCCCATTGGGTTTCCAAAGCAACAAATCTTTATGGAAGTAGATTGCCTAATCTTCCTTCCTCAGAGCAGCTGGTGGCTTTGAACCACCAACCATCTGGTTAGCAGTCAAATGCCTTAGGCACTGTGCCACCAGAGCTCCTTATTAGTGTAATAGAGAATTAGTGTATTTTTCTTAGGTGTAACAATGGTCTTGCGATAGCAAAAGAGATTATTATCCTTATTGTCAAAAGTTGCCTGCTGCTAATTTAAGAGTAAAGCGTCCTAATGTCTATACCTTACTTTTAAGGAATTCAATAAGAAGATAAACAATTAGAAAGATTATACATACACATATAAATCACAAATAACAAAACGTTAAAAACTGTTGACTCAAAATAGAAAAGAAGTATGTTTACTGTCCTAAACTTTCAACTCCTTGGTATGTTGTTTGTGTTATGTTTTATGTTAAAAAGCCTGGGCTAGGGGTGGTGGAAGGGACTAGATAAACTATCTAGTGCACTTTAGAAGGAACAAATCAGAGATACTTGTACTGACATGGCTGAATCTCAGAAACATGCTGAGCAAAAAAAGCCAGGGGCAGAATGACACTCAGGGTATGCCATTTAGATGAAACACAAAACCACATGAAACAATGTAACATATTGCTTCCAGATACATTTCTGTAGTAAGGATATAAACATATTCATATTCTCATTCGTTCTCTCTCTCTCTCTCTCTCTCTCTCTCTCTCTCTCACACACACACACACACACACACACACGTACGTCCAAAATGAGGTAAAAGGATTCCTCAGGCCCCTTCCTTGATAGGCCAACATGGATACAGATGGAGGAAGTTTGTCAGGGTACAGAAGGGAGAGAGACACAGCCCTCATGCCCACCACACTGGGCTTACCTGTCTCCCACTGACCCTGCTGAGAATCTGAAGAGCTATCTGACTGGCGGCGGCGGCGGCGACGGCGACAGCTGCCCTCTGCCCTCTTTGAAGAGTTGGAGGTGCCGTAGCTGTAGCGTTCTGGAGACACTGAGGGAAAAGAAAGGAAAGATGCAGTCACAGCTGCCTCCCTCCCAGCCCCAGCCCCCAGAATCCCACCTAACACAGTGCCTCTGTTCCCCAGAGGACAGAGCCCCACTAGCCACTCCCTCTCAAATACCTCCAGCCCAGCCCTTACTCTGATGCCTCCTGGGATTGAGCAGTTGCTTCTTGGGCCTTTCAACCCATCTCTACAGCAGCCTGAACTGCCAGGGTTATTCTGCAAGTGAAGTCATGGTTAGGATCCCTGTGATGGCCCTTGCTCCTTATCAAATGCCTTCAGATCTCTGAGAGCCCCAGAGAATTAGCAGGCCTCTGCGGGGACTCCCCAATGCTTCTCTTCTAGGCCTGACCCCAGATACATTTCTCCAAAAACAATGTGAGCCTTTCCCCAGGGCTGCCCTTTTCCTACTTTTCAAATCCCACTGGGTTTATCATAATCCCACTTTCCAAACTGGTACCTCTAATAATCCAGCCAAGGACTCAACAGCTTATGAGACATGAGCAGGCACCGGGCTCTTGGCAGCCTGAAACCTTTCCACCTCCTCACTCTCCCAGAACTGCTGGCTTGCAGAAGCACTTCCCTCCCAAGAGTTAAAGGCATAAATTCTAGAGGGCAGCCCCCCAGTTCCCAGCCATACTGTCTGCAAGCCCCTGAGTGATATGGCTCCTCACCCTCCTCTCTGCAGTTGCCTCGGTCCACAAGGGCCTCTTCCGATGCTGAGCGCATTCCTGCCTCGAGACTTGACTGCTTGCCTGCCTTTCCCTCTGCCTGGAATTTTCTTTCCTTAGATCTCTGCAAGCCGATGGTGCAACCCCAGCTCAAATGTCACCTTCTCAGAAAGGTCTTCACTAGTCACATAATTGGCCTCCTCCCCTCACTGTCCTGCACTCCCCATTCCTTCCCTCCCATTACTGTTTTAATCTTTCCTTGGGGCTGTCTGCCTCTGAGTTGATCCTGACTCACGGAGACTAGGTGTTTCAGAGCTCCATGGAGCTTTGAAGGCTGTGTGATCTTTCAAAAAGCAGAGTGCCAGGCCTGTTTTCTGAGGCACCTGGGCAGGTTCAAACCACCAACCCTTTGGCAACCCCATCTAAAAACACACTACTTGTTTATCTGTTTTATTGTCTGAGTCCCCATTACACGTAACTTAATGGAACAGACGCCTCATCAGCCCCTCACCTTGTAGCCCTAGTGCCTGGCACACAAGAAGCACTCAATTCTTATACGAGAGCAAACTGCTTAACTTCTCTGAACCTGTTACTTTCCTTGTAGAGTGGGAAGAGTAACATGACTTCTTCACAGGATTACTGGGAGGATATATGATGTTAATTTGCACAAAGGATTTACTGCTGTGGTTAGCCCTCTGTTAACGGAGGCCATAATCATTACTGATATGGCCAAACTACACAAGCCCACCTCTGCCCAAACTTCACCTCCTCACTCTTTTGTGTCCTGCTGATACTCTGAGATGAGAGTGGATCAGGACATAAAACTGTCTTATTCGGGACTGTCTACATCACAGTACCACAATGTGCTGCCCAGGGAGAAGGGTAAAGCCCTCTCCCCACAGGAAAGCCAGGCAGATCCCAGTCTGTCATCCTCTCATTCAGCCATACCTGGCCGGCGCCTCTTGCGTGCCAAGTGCGGCAACAGGTCGTGACGGGCCAGCACGCGCAGGAGTTGCCTCAGTAATCGAAGGTTGCTCTCGTCGCACTGGCCTCGGCGCTCCAACTCCAGCAGCAGCTCCAGGCCGCTCCGTGCGCGGGCCAGGCCGCCAGCGGCGCCAGGAGCCTCGTCCAAAAGAAAGGCCAACAGCTCCAGCTCGCACTCGGTCAGCTGCCCGCCCACCACCTCGAACATGCGGTGCAGCGACAGCATCCCATAGTAGTCCAGACACTCGTCCTCTTCCCAGCTCGGGGCTGGGGTCGGCCCGGGCAGCGCCATTCTCGGGGGAGGGGGTGGGAGCAAGCACGGAACCCGGGCCTAGAACCCACAGAGAGGGGAGAAGGCGGTGATCAGCGGCGCGGAGGCGCGGAGCTCACCCGGACTAGTACACCTTCCTCAGTCCGCCCATCCTGGCAGGGCCGCCCGTACACCCCCCAAATGTCTCGGCCTCCCCCCTCTCCCGAAAAGAAATGGTATCGCCCGAGGTCCCCTAGTAACAGGTCCAGACGCCAGACCCCACGCGTCCTCCGGCCCGTGGCGTCGGCTAAACCCAAACGCCCCTCGCCAGGTGGTACGTTCCGAACCAGCCTCCAGAACCGAGTGACTGGGTCCGGGCACGCCTCGGAACTTCCCGGGGCACCCTGCCAACTGCCCCTTGATTCTGAATAGTACTGACCGGATGTGCTCCTTGGCTCCGTCCAGTGGTACCGTCCAGTCGTGTCCCACGGCTCCACTCAAGTGGTACCGTCCGAAAGCAACCCTCTGCCCCCTACAAGTGGAATCAACCAAGCAGCCCTTGTCCGAACACGACGCCCTCGCCCTGTGAGGGCCGTACCGCCTATGCCTGGAGTTCAAGTGGTTTCTTCTAGCAGCCACCAGTAGCCCGTAGACCTCTCTGAGTCCTCACCGGATTCTGGCGTCCGACGACTCCTGGGCGACGGCTGCTGCCACTTGTTTTGGATCTTTCTGGCACCTTCTCTAGTATTACGCCTGCGTCACCTCGCCCCTCCTCCTTCCCCAACTCGCGCAGGTGCGACCGCCACGCCCCTTCGGGGCAAGCGCAGAGAGATGTTTCTAAGCCCCGCCCCTGCCGGCCCTCCGCCCCCGCCCCCGCCCCCCTTAGAAGCGTCTTGGGCTGCTTGTGCTGCGCCTGCGCAGAGCGAGAGCAGCGCCGCAACGGGGCTGATCTGGTACCCAGTTGCAAACGTGCTACTGCTCGCCCAAGACTTAAGTCGCCGGGTCTCTGTCACTCCACGTAACGTCCTGTTTGGAATATTCATTTCATGGACTACAGTGCCCTCTTGTCATGACCCAGACTGATACATTATTACTGCCCCCAGCTGCCTATTGCAGAGGACCATAATCACGATCGTCTCGGCTCCAGTAACGCCCAGGCCCCTATGATGGGTACCGGGACACTCCTCTGTCAGAGTATCCCCACCCCTAATAGCAACCAGGAACCTACATCCTACTGCCTTCTCATGATAGCAAACCGGAACCCCACCCCCAACCCAACAGATATCCCCCACCTATATAAGTCCCTTGCCCTGATCAATACCAGGACACCACCATCTCAGGAACCTAGACTCCCTCGATATGTCCTTCCTGATTGCAGTATGCCCCTGCATCCCTACTATGCCCCTTCTGATGCCATCTATCAAATGCCTCTTAACGCCATTCCAACCTCCGCCCTCACGGGGTTACGGGGCCGCCTAGACGCCGGCACTTAGTCACACACTGGTTGGAGGGGATTCCTGTAGGGGGAGCCGGTGTCGAGGATCCAATGTCTGCGCTTCTTCCTAGCTGCGGGGCTTTGGGTGTGGCTGTCGTACCGTCCCCTACTTAGGTGACTCAAGGTCAGAGGCCGCACGTGCCTAACGACAAGTCCCCCTTCTCGGACCTGTTCCCACCCCCGGAGTCATCTAACCCTCCAAGATGGGAAACGTGGGTTCTGGCACAGGCTCTACTTGCTTTCCCTTGGCTGTAGCAGTGAGCTTAGGAGAGTCCCTTCCCCAGTCTTGGCCTCAGGCTCCCTATATGTAAGCAGAAGGATGGCAGTGATCAGCTACTGAACACATAGAAGGCGCCCAATAAGAGACCACTATTAAATCGTTTGAATAGAAAAAATGAAAGCAAATTTTACAAATTAAGGATTATGTCCCTGTTAGGAGCTCTGATAGTGTAGTGCCTAAGGCACTTGACTGCTAACCAGAAAGCCGGCGATTCAAACCCACCAGCCACTCCTCGGAAGGACAATCCACTTCCGTAGTGATACCGCCTCAGGGGTCACTATGAGGCGGGTCCGACTTGCCGGCATATAACAACATGTCCCTGTTAGATGGGTTAAACACCTATGGTATACGAGGCCCTGTACTGAGAGCCCTTTCACGTGTGTGATCTCATCCCCTCAAAAGTTGAGCTTTTGAAAATTTGTTGCCCCGTGTCACTTTAGCTTTGTGTATCTCACTGTACATAAGTTATATTTCAATAAAATGTATTTTTTAAAATAAAGTTGAGCTTTTGAGGTTTATGTAATTCAAGCCTATTTTACTGACTAGAAAGGGATAGTATCCTAAGTGTACGACTCCAAAACTTTGCTCTCGGGAAATCTCAAGTCTCCTCAGCTGGGAAATGACACGTCCGTCAAGGTCTCCCGCAACCCAGGCCACCCAATGCGCCCTAGCGCTCCAAAGGTACCTAGTTCTGTGTACATAACTTTCAGATTTGGCAGGTAGGGAGCTGCTCGAGACAACTGCACAGGCGCACCTCCGTTCCCGAGGCCCCGCCTCCTCGAGTACAGTTGCGTGCGTGGAGGAACTTGCCGAGCCCCGCCTGAGCGTCAGTGCGCAGGCGCAAGGGCGCGTGCCCTCAGATGCGGGTGCTGATTGGTCAACACGGTTAAGGGTGCCGCCCAATGGGAGGTGTAGATAGTGAGGGGTCTCGCACGCCTCGGGCAGAGGGTCTGTGTCAGGAGCGGCGGGGGCTGCAAGAGGTAAGAGGGACGAGTGAGGGCGCCGCAGGGCGGGCCTGGGAAGTAAGCGCTGGGTTCACAGGGAGAGCAGAGGGAGTTCGAAGGGGGCTTAGGGGGACGAAGAGTCTTTGGGCCTGCGCTAGGGCGGGAGCGGCGCAGGTTGGAAGGAGAGCGCGCCTTCCTGCGTGCTCTGAGTACTGGTTGAGCCCCTGTGGTATCCAGAAACCTACGTTTGAGCTCTGGCCCCCACTGCCTACGGAGAGTTCTCCGGCTCCCGAGGAGATGAGCCCGGTAGGAGAAACGGGGTGTGTAACGAGAAAGTTTAACTTCCAGGCCCCTGGTGGATCCTTTTCTGGAAGGACTTTTATTAATCCACTGTATGAAAAGCCCACACGCCCAAGGTTGGGAAGGGAAGGAATGTAGATGAAGAAATTGCAAATTTCAGGACTCTCGGGCCGCCTTCTAGAGAGACGTTTATTAGATGTCTACTTTGTGCAAGCCGTACACCGTGCACTGGGCTTGGTCTTGAGGAACTCTGTTCGGAGCAGGGCTGTGAAAAGGAAAAACTCTCAGGCCTCTGGTTGGCTTTCAGGAAGATTCTTCATTGAATGGCTGTTGTGTGCAGGCGGTGGCAACTGACAAATTTGTGAGGGAGTTAAAATATCGTGAATAAAGGAAGGTTAACTCCTGGGCTTTTTACTGAATCATTGACTCAAGGGGCATTTATTAGGCAGAAGCTGAAAGCAGGGCCCTGTGCTGATTGTAATGATTCACAGTCTAATGGAAGAGTTAGGTCTGGTAGGAGAGATGAGATGTGTACCAAAACCAAAATGCCAAACCCAAGGTCATCGATTCAATTCCGACTCGTAGCGACAAATGTGTAGGGCTTCCAAAGCTGTAAATCATTACAGAAGCCGACTGCCTCATATTTCTCCCACGGAGCTGCTGGTGGATTCAAACTGTCAACCTTTTGGTTGGCCCAGTGCTTTAACCACAGTACCACTAGAGCTACTGGAGTATGTACAGGCACAGTTAAACTTCCACGGCCTTGCAGGACACAACCTGGAAGGAACATTATTCATTCAGTAAATATCTACTGACTGCCTACTGTGTGCTAGGCATTGTTCTTGGCACTGGAAAGGCATCAGTGATAACAGACTAAAATCCTGCCCTCTGGATTAGTATGAGTAACTCTTATATGCAAGGCTGTAAGCTGGACTCCACGTGCTCTCTGGCACTAATGGAAAAAGAGAGGAAGGTGGGAGTTGGATTCAGAAGATTAGCTCCCAGGCCCGGAAAAGGGGGAGGCATTTGCTGAAGAGATTCTGAACCTCTGTTATGTGAAGGGACCTGGGTTGGGTTGAGCCCACACATGTAGAATGGGAGATGGGACGCAGAGGGAAAAGTTTGAAAGTTAAAATCTACATCCCGAGTCAGTAGTTGTGTGGGTCACAGGAATCCTCACAATAAATCAGACCAGCCCTGCCTACATACTCTTAAACCATTGAGAAGCACAAAGATGCCATCTCAGTCCCATAATTACCATAACAGAGGTGGCACAGACTTTGCCTCACCTACTTTGGTCATGTTGTCAGAAGGGACCACTCCCTGGAGAAGTATGTCAGGCTTGGTAAAGTGGTGGTTAAGTGGAAAAGGGCAAGGCCCTAAACAGATGGATTGACACAGTGGCTACAACAGCGGGCTCAAGCATAACAAGGATTGTGAGGATGGGGCAGGACCAGGCAGTGTTTCATTCTTTTGTACATGGGATCACTATGGGTTGACCTGACTCTATGGCACCTAACAGCAGAGGTGGTACGGGATTCCATAGGAACCCCAAAGAGGAGGGAGTGGCCACCCCCCTGAGGATACAGAGGTGTTGTAAGAAGAGGCTTCCTGAAGGAGATGCTGGGTTGAGTTTGCCAAACAAAGAGAGAACTTTCCTGGCAGAGAGATGGCCTCATCAAAGGTTTAGGGTCCAAAGACATATCTGGGGAAGTACAAGTAATAGTTATAACTAATCTTTACTCAGTACCAGGGACATTGTGGGCAGTACTACTTTTAGCCCCAATTTACAGTTGAGGAAATGAGAGAGGAAGTAAGTGGGAGAGCTCAGATTTGAGTCTGGGCAGTCTAGTTCCAGGGCCTGGTTCCTGGTGCTCATAGACACCTGGCCACATCTCTGTGTGTGCACCTAGGAGAAGGCAACAAGATGTGGCACAAAGAGGAGCCCACATAGGCAAAGGCTGAAGAGCCCAAAAGGTGTGATGTATTCTCAGAAAGGGTGTGGGTAGTGCTCTGAGTAAGGAGAGCAGCATCAGAGGCCAGACTGAGGAGTGCTGTCTCTTTTCGCAGATGTCTGGCTGCCACCAGGTGCGTGTAGGCTTCAGAGTCACGGGATCTTCAAAGACTGAGACATAAGCATTGGGCTCAGAGTTGCTGATCCATACAGGCTGGTGAGTGACGGGATGGGCAAGGGAACTCCTGAGGGTCCCCCTTCCCTCTGGGTCCTGGTCTCTCACCAGCCCCTGCCCTTGCTTCTCTAGGTGCTGCCTTCCCCACAATGGCGGAGGTGGTGGCAGAGATGGCAGAGGTGACTGAGATGCCAACACAAGTGTCACCAGAGGTGGTGGAGATGGCAACACAGATGTCAGGGGAGGTGACTGAGATGTCCACAGAGGTGACTGAGCTGACACCTGGGGAGGCCCTTGCCTCATCCCTCTTCTTCCAGCACCACCAGTTCATGTGTTCTGAGTGTGGTAGCCTCTACAACACCCTGGAAGAGGTCCTCTCACACCAGGAGCAGCACGTGCCCCCAGCTGTAGAGGAGGAGGCACTGACCACCCAAGACGCAGGCCTGGAGCCAGGCACAGAGCTGGTGCCGGGCACCGAGGATGGGCCTTTCCAGTGTGGCGAGTGCAGCCAGCTCATCCTCTCCCCCAGCGAGCTCCTGGCCCACCAGGACGCCCACCTCCGGGAGTCTGCAAGTCAGATCCAGTACCAGTGTGGGGACTGCCAAGAGCTGTTCCCCTCCCCTGAGCTGTGGGTAGCTCACCGCAAGGCCCAACACCTCTCTGCAGCAGCTGCCGAACCTCCCCCACCACCTCCTTTGCCTCCCCGGACACCACCGTCTCCACCCGCTCCTCCACCTGAAGTCAAGATGGAGCCCTATGAGTGTCCTGAGTGCTCAACCCTGTGTGCCACACCTGAGGAGTTCTTGGAGCATCAAGGCACCCACTTCGACTCCCTCGAGAAAGAAGAGCACAACGGGCTGGAAGAGGAAGAAGAAGAGGAGGAGGATGAAGAAGATGAAGGTGAGACAGAGGAGGAGGAGGAGGCAGCAGAGGCTGGTGACGATGCTGTGGGAGGCACTGAGTCCAGCGGGGCCCAAAGCTGTGGGGACTATTCCCAGCATTGGCCCTCAGCAGGGGCTCACCGGCAGCACCGGCGGGTATCTCGTGGCCCGGCGTCATCAGAGGCCCACCCCTTCCACTGCAGCCAGTGCCAGCGCAGCTTCAGCTCAGCAAACCGGCTGCTGGCTCACGGGCGGGCCCATGTAGGTGGCACACACGAGTGCACCACCTGCTCCAAGGTCTTTAAGAAAGCTGCCTCGCTAGAGCAGCACCTGCAGCTGCACCGCGGTGAAGCCCGCTACCTCTGTGTGGACTGTGGCCGTGGCTTTGGCACAGAACTCACGCTCGTGGCCCACCGGCGGGCGCACACTGCCAACCCACTGCATCGCTGCCGCTGTGGCAAGACTTTCAGCAACATGACCAAGTTTCTGTACCACCGGCGCACTCACGCCGGCAAGAGTGGCACCCCCCGCACAGTAGCCACAGCAGCCTCAGCTGCAGCCGAACCTCCACCCCCTCCACCTCCCCCAGCCCCGCCTGCCCAGCTGCCCTGCCCACAGTGCTCCAAGTCCTTCGCCTCAGCCTCCCGGCTCTCCCGGCACCGCCGTGCAGTCCATGGGCCCCCTGAGCGGCGGCACCGCTGTGGCGTGTGTGGCAAGGGCTTCAAGAAGCTGGTTCATGTACGCAACCACCTGCGGACACACACGGGTGAAAGGCCCTTCCAGTGCCACTCGTGTGGCAAAACCTTTGCTTCTTTGGCCAATCTCAGCCGCCACCAGCTGACCCACACGGGTGTGCGTCCTTATCAGTGCCTGGACTGTGGCAAACGCTTTACGCAGAGCTCCAACCTGCAGCAGCACCGGCGGCTGCACCTGCGGCCGGTTGCCTTCGCCCGCGCCCCCCGCCTCTCCATCACTGGGCTCTACAACAAGAGCCCCTACTACTGTGGGACCTGCGGTCGTTGGTTCCGCGCCATGGCTGGCCTGCGCCTGCATCAGCGGGTCCACGCCCGAGCCCGGACAGCGACCCTCCAGCCGCCCAGATCACCACCTCCTGCCCTGCCACTGCCCCCCGAGCCCCAGCAGACCATCATGTGCACAGAGCTGGGGGAGACCATTGCCATCATTGAGACATCCCAGCCTCTGGCCCTTGAGGACACACTGCAGCTGTGCCAGGCTGCACTGGGGGCTAGTGAGGCAAGTGGGCTGTTGCAGTTGGACACCACCTTTGTGTGACACAGCTCAACAGCAGCAATAAACAGGTTCAGTCGCAACAGTGAGTATGGGTAGCTCTGTGAAAAAAGCTTGCCATACCTCTGGCCAGCTGATCTGGCACCTGCTTTTGTCAGGGACCACCCTGGCTTCTGACCCACCAACTCCTCAGATCAGGTTTCTGTTGTCACTTTGCTCTGCTTGAGGAGAAGCAGAAACTCTGAGCTGTGATGTGATCTGCCGTGGGTCACAATGCCAATTTGCAAAGCGGGTTTCACCAAGGCTCTGTGCTAGGCACCCTCACGTACCTCTTCAGATCCTCTGCTTACCCCTCAGCCCTAGCCTTCCCTGGACTCTGGGTGCCTAGGACATGGCTCTGCCTACTGGGGGGAAGCGCCTGACTTCTTTGGGCTTCCTTACTGTCAGTTTTGACCAAGTGGCAGAGAAGTCTATAGGCCCAGGGACTCGACTCCATACTGGAGACCCAGGAATGAGCAGACATGGCTCTTCCTTCATGGAGCATGCATGGTCTGGTGGGAGGAACACGTGAGTACAGATGGCGTCGGTCTCTGACTATGTCTCGTTTATACATCCAGCACATGTGTTCCAAGGCCACCCTCCCTTGTGCTGGGCAGCGCTGGGGGCCGGAGATGAGCAGGCCTGAGCCCTGACCTGTGGGGCTGACAGATCTCAGCTCCCAGGATTCCTGGGGCTCTGACAGGGAGGTGCAGGGGCAGTGAGGCCTCAGAGCAGGGAACCAGACTCTGGTGGGAGGTTTAGAGTCAGAGATGACATCCTATAGGAGGTAGACCTTGAAGGAAAAATAGGATCTTGCTCCTGGAGAAAGACATTCTAGGCAAACCACACTGCTTGAGGGGAAGATGGTGGTACATTTGGAGACCATCCAGTTACTCAGGGCTACGAAGGAGCCTTGGTTGCACATTGGTTAAGCACTCGGCTAGTAAATAAAGGTTGGCAGTTTGAACCCACCAGCTGCTCTCCAGGAGAAAAGAGCTGGCAGTCTGCTTCCGTAAAGATTATAGCCTTAGAAACCCTGTGGGGCAGTTCTAGCCTGTCCTGTAGGGCTGCCATGATTCAGAGTTGACTTGATGACAACAGGTTTGGTTGTGACAGTGGAGTTCAAAGCTGTGGTAGGCACCGTGCTTAGCACCGTATGTGTGTTATGATCCCAGCAGGCCTGTGGATAGAGTTCAGTATGGTCAGTATTGTACAGATGAGGAAACTGAGGGGCAGCAATTTGTTCATGGTCTTGCAGTGAGGTAGAGGTATTGCTGAGATTCAAACCAGGTAGACTCGCATAACCCCGTGTCATAGCCAGTATTGTCCTGAGTGATTAAGACTGAAAGCAGTGCTGGGGCAGGTGGGTCGGTGGCAGCAGAGTCATTCTAACTGCAGGAACAGTGAGCCAGTGTCCCAGAGCCCTGGGATTTGACAGGGCCTTGAAGGATCAAAGGTCCCCTGGGGGTGGCAATTTGTCTCTCCCTACACGGAAGATGGTTATGTTGGGTGTGGGGGGCAGGCTCCTCCCAAGCCAGCTGCAATAAGGGTGCACAGGCAGGTGAAGCGGAATATAGCCAAGGCTGAGAGTTGTCTGGACAGAAGCAAGGCGAGGAGCCCCGCGCTTGGGGCTGCCAGATGGAAGCGTAGCTGGTGGGGCCCTCAGGACGAGTTAGTGAGGGTAGCTGTGGTGTCGGTCGGCTGCCGGTCTGAGCCCAGGTGGGACTCACCTAAAGCTGAGAGAGGGAAGAGTAGACAGTCAGCCCTTGCCTTTCCAAGAGTAGGAACTGAGTTGTCTGGACAGAAGGCCTAGACCTTGGAAGGCCTTGAACACTGGGCTAAATCCAGGATAGTGAGACTAGTAGAGGGGCCACAGCAGGGTCATAACTGAGTGTTAGGTCCCTCTGGGGTCAAGGTGGGGTCAGCAGGAGGCTGGAGATGGTCCGGGAGGGAGAGGACAGGGCCAGAGCTGGGGCAGAGACCGTGGCGGCAGGGGGCAGTGCCTGACGGTAGCTGGAGCTGATGACTGACCACACGTGAGAGGAAGGGATCCCACAGAAGCCCAAGGCCTGCCACCGCCCAGAAGCAGCCCACCAGGGAGGGCACTTGCAGACAGTACTCATTTTACAAACAAGGTGGAATCAGGATGGTGCTGGGCTGGGCAAGGGAGGGACAACAGCATCTAATGCCCCAGGGCTACTGTGAGCACAGCGGAGAACCTGGGGGTCCCATAGGGATAGTCTTTGAACTTTCTCAGCTACACGTCAGAAATGCCTTTCAGTGTTCGTAAGTGGAATCCAGTGAAGGAGGTGTCCCCTGCACACCCCCAGGCTCCCTGCCCCCCTGCCCCCCTGCCTGGCTCCATGTGGCACAGCTGCCAGTGCCCTCGGCCCAGACTCTCACCATTTGGCCACAGTGTTTTTAAGAACGAGGTACAAAACAACTCTGCCCAAACCTTGCCAGAGTTCCGGCATCCCTAAGAAGTAGATCAGGCAACTGCCTGTGGAAGGCAAGGAAACAAAGGCTTAGGGGTCTGCTAGTGTTAGGGAACGCAGCTCCTTTGTCTCCAGTCCATGCCCACTGAGACTACAGCCAGGCTGTTTGGCCTGAGTGACCTCACCACCTCGTGTCCCCTCTGGCCCCTGCAGAGGTAGGCAGCTTGAGCTCTGGGACAGACAGCCCTTTGTTCAAGCCGTGACTGCCACTTAACCACTGTGGCCTTAACCTCCATGGCCTTGAGCTCTGTGATCCCCATTTTTCTCCTCTGTCACCTGGTGATGACAGTCCCTCTCTCCCTCAGCAGAAGCAGATGACATGCTGCATCTGTGGGGCAGGTACCTCCCAAGGCTCCTGCAGTAGCAAAGGCTGACAGAGAGCATCCTCCCCATTTTGCAGAGGGAAAGCTTGGATGCAGGGAAGCTGGGCCTGAGCCAGGCTAGGACACAGGCTCCTTGTACCCTGTCCCCTGCCTGTGATTCAGCACCCACCCTAGCCCAGACAGCCCCCTGGACACCCCTCACCTCAGCAGAAACAGGCTGCCGGAGAGGAGTTAGGTTTTCATGCCAATAATTTATTGAACGGAGGTCTGTACACAGGCAAACCTTACAGTGGAAACTAAGACAATCAAGAGCTCTCCTCAGTCCCCTGCCCCTCCAGGGTGGGGAGGGGAGAGAAGAGACCTTGGAGACAGAAGACAAGGGAGACACAGCTGGAGGAGGGGACCAGGTTGGATGGTGTGAATCAACGTTTTCTTTAAGAAAAAAATTATAACAATCTATTTACACCTGGGGGCCAGGGAAGGGCAGGGAAGATGGGGGTGGTCTGGTTCTATTTACAAGGGACATGGGGAAGGGGGGTTGGAGGAGGTGGAGACCTGGGGGCAGGGGAGGGGGCCGAGGGGGTAGGAGGTCCTCATGCCCCCAACCCCATCCGTCCATCCTTCTCTTCCCTCCCCACAACCAGTTAAAATCCTCTTAAAAAGCCCACCGCAGGGGTGAAGCTGGAGAGTGAGGGACTGGAGGTGGAGACAGGGACTCATTTATCTCTGCCCCCTAGTCTAGGGGCCCCGCCAGGGCAGGAGGAGCGTGGTGGGCTGTGGCCCCTCGTCCCAGCCCTGCTTGGGGCTCCCAGATGGAGTGTAGCTGGTGGGGCCCTCAGGAAGAGTTAGTGAGGGTAGCTGTGGTGTCGGTCGGCTGCCGGTCTGAGCCCAGGCGGGACTCACCTAAAGCTGAGAGAGGGAAGAGTAGACAGTCAGCCCTTGCCTTTCCAAGAGCAGGAACTGAGGTGCTACCTTGAAAGTTGAAACTCATTTTAGGTCCAGGGTTTCAAACTCAAACACCAAAGGGCCAGGTTGGCATAGGGTGAATGACACCAGAGAGCCAACTGAGGAAATAAACAGACCCACTGCCATTGGATCGAGTCGATTCTGACTCATAGTGATCCTAGATGACAGGGCAGAACTGCCCCACAGGGTTTCCAAGGCTGTCATCTTTACAGAAGCAGACTGCCTCATCGTTCTACCACACGGCAGCTGGTAGGTTTGAACAGCTGACTTTTGGTTCACAGCAGAATACTTTAACCATCATGCCACCACAGCTCCTACTAGAGAGCCAGGCCCCATAAAAAGGGGAGTTGTAGCCCTGCTTCAGTGGACAGCTGTCATGGGAAGGGCAGGCCCATTGTTGTCAGACCTGAGTTTTCCCAAGAGAAAAAGGAAATCCAGAGTTTTAAAATTTAACAAACATTTTAAATTTTAAAATTTCTCATTTCATTTAAAGAAATGAACTCAATTTTGAAACATGGACAACAAAATCCACCAATTTGATGTCTGTGTAGGCCAAACATAGTGCTTTGGTTTTCCAGTTTGCACCTTAGACATAAATGCAGGCAGTAACAGACTGATAAAGATGGTCATTCCCATGTTGTAAGATGGGTATATCGTCGTTGTTAGGTGCCGTCAAGTCGTACAGTGACCCTGTGTACAACAGAACAAAACACTGCCTGGTCCTGTGCCAGCCTCATGATCCTTGCTATGCCTGGGCCCATAGTTGCAGCCACTGTGTCGATCCATCTTGTTGAGGCCTTCCCCGTTTTCACTGACCCTCCACTTTACCAAGCAAGATGCATATACCTATATTAAAAATGTTTACATATATGTGCAAAATATGACACAGACTATCCAAATGTAAACTAGAAAATACCGTAGGAAACTGAGACCAGCCCCATGAACCCTCAGCAGACAGCCTCCAACTTACCTTGTGAGGACGGGGTAAGAGTGGCAGAGCCCGCCGGGGACCTCAAGTGAGGAGGGATGAGAATGGCATTGAGAGATGGTTGGATGGAGAGTTCTAAAGACAGGAATGGACATGCCCAGTCAGGCGGTGTTGGGGCAAAGCATCTGGAGACCCAGTCAGGGTGGAAAAGGGTTAGGGCAGGAAGGGGCACCAAGTGGGGACCCAGTTACTGACAAGTCCAGTTGTTTGGGAACCCTTGCAGCTATACAGCTATTTACATGAGCCCAGCACAAGGCAGATCAAAGTAGTATGCAGTTGCAGAACTGTAGTTCGGTTCTCCCTAAGGCTGGGGACGTCTCCCCGGAACCCCAGGCCCTCCGTGTACTCCACCCTCAGGTCCCCACTCCTGTCTTCACCAGCAAACTCTTCTCCACAACTGGTGGATCCTAGACTGTGCTCTCACCACCAGGGCTGAAATTGAAGAGTGGGGGAAGCAGGCGGTTGTTGGGGAGCTGGGTTCCAGGACATCGCAGTTCATCAAAGAAGCTGTGGGCGCAGGCTTCCAGCGGGGAGAGCCTGGAGGATGGCGTGTACTCCAGCAGGCTCGAGCAGAGTGCAATGGCCTCAGGTGGCGTTCGAGATTTGAATACCTGGGAAGGGGCACATGGGGTCATGAGGGTGAGAGATGGCCCCTGTACCTCACTCTGCCATGGTGCCCACTGCAAATGTGACTGCCTGCCTCCCACAGACCCACTTTAAAAATGAGGAAACCAGCACTGTGAAGACAGTCTGTGTCCAGTAAGCAGCTAGCCTAGGTTCCCAAATACATCACATGAATCCTACTGTAGGCCTGTTTCCTTGCCATAAAAATGAAGAGTCCTGAGTTTACTTGTGGGTCCTCCAGATGTGTAAAATCTGACAAAAGTTACTGACTCACTCCTTAAAAAACTGTTCAGATCCTCCCAAGCCATGATTCTGGACCCAGGCCCCTAATTAGTGGGTCCCCCAGGCAGACCCCATCCCTGGCCATACTGCCCCGGCACTTAGCTCTGTCCCACCTTTGTCCAGGGATGGGCTTTAATCTGGGGGAACTTGAACTCCGTGTAGTTGGGGTTCATCTCTCGGATCTGTTCCCGGGTTGGTGTTCCCAGCACCTGTAGGGACAGGGAAGGGTCTGAGACAAGGCCCCAGTGCCTTGGCCCCACCCCCTGCCCATCCTGGTCACTCCCTCACCTTGATGATCTCCACCAGCTGGTCTACCCCACTGTCCCCAGGAAAGATGGGCTGGCCCAGGAGCAGCTCAGCCAGTACACAGCCTGCTGACCACACATCTGAAAGGGAATTGCGGGGGCGCTCAGGGCTAAGTGAGTAGAGCTCCCATGCCCATCGCTTTCATTCCTAATAGCCAGCCTGAGAGGTGTTGTCACGGACCTCATTATCTAGGCTGAGAGAGGAAGCACCATGCCCGAAGTTACACACAGCTCAGGAATACTGGTGTCTGAACTTTGAACCTCGTCTGCCCAACTTGGCTGTATTCTCCCATCTCCTGGCTCAGGAAACCTGATGTGCCCTTGCTCTGGCTTCAAAAGACAGACTCAACTAGACCCAAACCTGCCAGCAAGCCTAGAACAGGCACGTGTTTGGGCCACAGGAAGGTGAAGCCATAAGCCCCAGGCTGCCTTTCTTACTTCCTAGCCTCTATCCTGCCCATGGGATGACCCGTCGCCCACTGCCTCACACAGCTTATCACCTCTCCCCGCCAAACGCTTCACACTCACTGCCCTCATGTCTACCATCATCCTGCCCACAGGGAAAGAAACAGGCCCTGTGAGCAGGTCAGGAGAAAAGCTGGTGGTCAAGCCGTCCCCTCTCAATTTCCCCCAAGGTCACACCAGCGCCTCCCGCTTCCTAAGTAGGGGGCTGACCAGGAGGACCCTGAGACAGTATGGACTCTGGAGTCAGGTCAGCTTTCATTTGCCAGCCCTGCTGAGACCCAGCGTGTGACTGCAGGCAGGTGGCCTCACCACTCTAAGCCTTAAGACTGTTCATCTGTAAACAACACACCAACATCAGCCTCAGTTTGTGAGAACTGAATGAAACGTTATCTCCAAGCCTGCCATACAGCTCAGAGAAAGCACAGGGACCCAGCCACCACTATCAGCCCACCCCTACCCTCCTCACAACTCTGACCGATAGACGAGGTGTAATCAGTGGCTCCAAAGATCAGCTCTGGGGCCCGGTAGTAGCGAGAACAGATGTAGGAGACATTGGGCTCTCCCCGGACCAACTGCTTTGCGCTGTGGGAAGAGAAGGTCAAGGGTAAACATGAGGGTTGGGGGTTCCCCCCCCCGCCCCTTCAGCCACCCAGCATACCCTACACATCAGGCCCACCTGCCAAAGTCGCAGAGCTTGAGGACAGCGGTGTCAGGGTCCACCAACAGGTTCTGGGGCTTGATGTCACGATGACACACACCCTGGGAGTGGATGTATGCCAAGCTCCGGAAGAGCTGGTACATGTACACCTGGGGCAGGCAGGGGACAGCAGTACTCCAGCCCAGCTCCTCAACAGCACACACCACCACTCCACCTTCCCAGCCCACTGTCCTGGACCAAAACTCTTCTGCTGCCCCACAGCCTCAGGGAATCTTGTTTTAAACCCTTGGTTCCCAACCCTGAGTGGGCACCAGAATTACATGGAGAACTTGTTAAAATAGGGACTGTGGGCCCCATCCCAGACCTTCTGACTCAGCAGATCAAGGATGGAGCCTGAGCGTGTGTATCCGCAACAAGTTCCAGGAAACAGAAGCTGATACGGGTCCCCAGCCCCATTTTGAGAACTACTGCTTTAATTACACATGTCAGCAGAAGCCTGATGAACGATGTTAAAAGGCCAGCTTGGGAGCTGGGCACTCACCTTTCCCCTCACCAAAACCCACGGGCTAGAGGGGGGCCTCAGTCAAAACTACTCAACCCCTCTCCAGCCTGACTTTCCTGCCTTCTCTCTCCCACTGACTACAACAAAGGTGCCAAGAGAGCAGGAACCTTGTGTTGAACAGTGCTGCAGCCCTCAGGGCCTACAACAGGGCCTGGCACGGGGTAACTGCTCTCCCTCCACCACCCACTAGGCTGCTTCCTAAGCCCTTCCTCTGTTCACGTTTCCCTTGGCCAGCCAGACGCCATTGCTTCTCCACACACCTGGTCTCCTCCATAAACCCTCCCTGGTCTTTCTTACCCCCAAACCAAGTGGAACTGGATACTTCCTGTGTTTCCCTAATTCCCTGTGCTTCCTCTAGTATGGAAGCTGCTAGACAGTGCCTGCCTTACTACCCCAAGCTGAGTGCACATCAAGGGCACGGCCTGAGTCTGGGTCAGTTGTGCCCGGGAATCAACAATGCTGGGCTGGATGCAGACAGCCCCAAGACACATTCACCAACCCAGAGAACTCCCCCTTCCCAGTGAGGTCCAACAGCAACACCCACTGGTAGAGCCCACAGCAGCTCACCCAAGTATGGGGTGCTTAGAGCCACCAGGAGAAGCAGCTGGAACCCAGCCACCTCTCCCCACGCAGCTCATCATCCCTGAGCTTCATTCATACGCTTTTCATTTATTCATTCATTCAAACACGACCTGGGGAACCAAGGAATGAGACCGTACAGATGAAGATGCATTCCTGGCTCTCTGGGCACTAAACCGTTCTCCAGCCCTACTTTCCTTCCCACTCCCCCTCTGCCAAGGCCTAGAAGGCCTGGACTCTGGCCTCAGTGTCTCCCCCTCTACATTGTCAGCCCCCACCAACACCACTGGGCTCCTAATATAGACCCAAGCAGGTACCTTGCAGACTGACCTGCAGTCAGCCCACCACCCCCCGTGATTGCGTTAGGCAGGCTTCATCTCTGAGAAGTATGAATACAAGGGTAAGGGCAAGAACTACAAGGCCAACGGAGACCAACATAAACTTGAAGATGAGAGAAGGCAGGAGGGTCTGGAACCCTTAGCTTTGTGGGCCTGAGCGTCAAAACCTGCCTGCATGCCCACCTTGACATAGATGATAGGGATGGTCAACTTGGCCTTGGTAAAATGGCGAGCCACCCGGTACACCGTCTCGGGCACGTATTCCAGCACCAGATTTAAGTAAAGCTCATCTTTCTGCAGAGAGCAAAGGAGAAGTGTGAGGTGGTGTGAGAAGAGAGCAAGGAAGGGGGAAGGGAAGGTGTGTGGGGAGTAGTGAGGGAAGGACTGGCTGTCATGGGAAAGGCAGGCAGGATAATGGGTGGAGCAAAGTGGAGGGCACCCCCCAGGTCTCACCTTCTCTCCACTGGAGTAAAAAAAGTATCTCAGCCTCACGATATTGCAGTGGTCCAGCTTACGCATGATCTGCAGCTCTCGGTTCTTGAGGGCAGAGAGAGAGGCTTGGTACGGCCAGCTCTCTGCCTCCCTCCCCAACAGCAAAGCACCACAGCTCCACTCCCCCACTAGACAGCTGCTCCCTCTGCCCCAGTTCTAAGGCTCCTCTGGAGAATCCCCTAACTCCTCACCCCCAGCCCATTCCCCTCACATATAAGCGGGAGGCCTGTGTGCCACCCCGGACCACAGAGCTGTTTTCTGTGGCCACTTCTAGAAAAGTTTCATTTTATTGCTGACATTTAAACATCAAAAGATTTCCACACATAAATCCAATTTTCTAGCTACTTTTGAAGAATCAGATCTGGCCACACAGGGCCTGCCTCCCTCTAGGACAGTTAACAAGTAGTAGCTGTTCAGTTCACTCTGGTCCCCACCACTCCCTATTGCCTCCCTTGAAGGCACCTGGATCTTTGAAACCCTCATTTGCATCCCAAGTTCCTGACTTCAGACTTCCAATCCTCACCTCCCTAAAGGGGATCCAGACCTCAGCCTCCTCCCAGAAGACCTATGCCCCTTTCTCTGTCTTCTCATGGGTCTCAGAACTCCCTGCCTCCAGATGCCTCTCACAGTGGTGACTCAACTCTAATCAAATTCTGATTGACACCCTGCCCAAGAGACCCAGGCCCTGCCCATGTTCCTCTTCCAGCCTGGACTCAGTTATATAGCCAGTCTAGATAAGGTTCTAAAATGCCAGTCCTTCCAACACCAGTATCCTTCTACTTCCTTCTCTTCCCTCTTCTTCTAGTTCCCTGGGCCTCCACTAGCTCACTGGGCACCTTTGATTGAGTAAGAAAAGGGCTCCCCTTCAGGAGGGGAGAACAGAGCCCGGCAACACGGTGCAGGGCTGGGCGAGTACAGCAACACTCGCCAAGCACGTGGGGCTGAGCAGACCTCCACGGCCCTGCCAGTTTCCTTTCTCCTCTGGGATGAAGTGTAACTAGCAGTTAAGGTACGGTGCCTGGAAATCAAACAGGCAGATTCCAGTCTGTTCTCAGGCTCTACTACATTACTACCTTATCTGAGTTTCAGTTTCTGCTTAGTTAGAATGGGGATAACAGTACCAACCCTCAGAGAATGAAAAAGCCAACTAGCTAAGAGCTTGCCTGTAAAGCATACGTCACACGTGTTACAGAGTAGAAGTGGGCGCCATAGGGTTTTCTTGGCTGTCATCTTTAGGGAAGCAGACTGTCAAGCCTTCTGAAGTGCTGCTGGGTGGGTTCAACCACCAACCTTTCTGTTGGTAGCCAAGCACACAGTCTGTGCCACCCAGGAACTTTATAAAACATTTACACAGCACACACACTCAACAAATGTCTGCTCTGGGGTCCCGGATTCTCCATTCCTGAGCTCTCCTATGCCCCATTTCCTTCTTTAGCCCTTTCTCCTCTTGGTCGTGATCAGATGCCCTCTGAAATCCCAGGCTCCATCTCTCTTGGTAGGGTTCTCTCGCTGGGTTATGCCCAGTCCCCATCTCCTCTTCCCCATTCCCCACAAGGTACCTTGAACCTCTTGTCCTGGAGGACCTTCTTGATGGCCACCAGCTCCCCAGTCTCAGCCAGTCGTGCCTGGTACACGACCCCAAAAGAGCCACTGCCAATCACTTTGATGTCTGTGTAAGCCACCTCTTGAGAACGCTCTGGGCCCTGGCCTAGGGTGGCTACCACTGTGGTCACTTTCCCGCTGTCACCTAGGGGACAAAGGGGACACATGATCCACTGACCAGCCATCCTGGGACTGTAGGGAGGAGGGAGTCTCTTTGTCCCTTCTCCTTCCTTGAGGGAAGGCAGATGCTGGTGCCCTCCCAGTGACCTTTCCCTTTTTCCCTTCATTAACCCTAAATCCTGCCTCCTTCCATAGGGGAGAATATTGACACCTTAATCTTTTCATTATTCAAGGGTCCACCCACTGCCACTGAGTCAATTCCAACTCACAGCGACCCCCATTGGGTTTCCAAAGCGGTAAATCTTTATAGAAGTAGATCACCCCACCTTCCTTCTGTGGAGCAGCTGATGGGTTTGAACCAACCTTCTGGTTAGCAGTCAAATGCCTTAGGCATTGAACCACCATAGTTCCTTATTCAAGGGTCGGTAACCCAAAATTTCCACTTCTAGGAAGCAACAAATAACTGGTCCCTCTTGGTTGAATCCATTCACTCTGACCTCTCCGTGACCTCTGACCTCTCTTGTTTGGGGAAAAGCTTGACTTTTTCCACTTAAGAGAACAGTCACCTGGGATTACTTTGGGAAAGCACTTACTTCTCCTTGCTCACATCGTGGGAGCTAGTGACCTGTACGTTCTCCTGGCGGAGCTGGTAACTACCCCACTTGACAGAAATGAATGACCTTTCCTGGTACGAGTGGTAGTACCTTCACTTTTGGAGGAGTTGCCCCTTACCCAAATACTTCAGGGTTAGAAAAGGCATTGACCTGACCTCTTCATCTGGGTGGTCCAGAGCCCCAGACTCCTCCCTTACAGACAAATACCAAATGGCGACAGTGAACTTACTCTCTATTATTAGGGGGCTAGCCCAGCCTCAGTTCATTAAAGAAAAACTATCATTCCCATTTCCCATTCTCTGAAGAACAGCAAACTTTAGGGCCATTTTCTCTTCTTCTCTCTTTTGAGAACTGATGCCTGCAGTCCACTGGAGAGCCCAGTAACATCTGCTCCTCTTTTGGAGGGAGATGACCCTACATCACTTTCTTCTGAGCCAATGACTCCATACCCCAGAACAATTATTCAGAGAATTGTAACTTCTGATCCACATTCTATGGAAGACTGTGCTCCCCTCATTCCATTTCTGTGAAAAAATACTCACCCATCCATGTTCTTTAAATAATAGTGACTATAGATTTCAAAGGAGCTCTGATGGATTTCAAAGGGATGATGACTTTCAATCAGTGTTCTGGGGGCTGGAGACACCTGTTCTTATTCCTAAGGAGCAGTAACCAATAATTTCCACCATGGTGGGGTGCATTTCCACATATTTTAGACCAGTGATGACGCCAGGCCTGTGTTTTAAAGAGGAAGATGGCCTGGCACTTCCAGCAAACCCTTGCCCTGTTCTTTGGGGCATAGCAACCCCAAATATCTGTTTCTAAATGATACTGAATCCGGATCCCTGTTCTGAGAGGCAGCAAATTCAGATCTCCTTTTCTTAGGCATAGCCATCTTACTCGTTTCCTTAAAAAACAATGACCTTTAGACCCCCAACTGCAAACGACAGTGACCCCAGATTCTGTTCTCTACAAGATAAGAACGTTAGAACCCTGTTTTTAAGGCTTAAGAATCCAAGACATCAGCAATAGAAAAACAGAGACTGTGACCCTTTTCTTTGAGGGTCAGTAATTCTGATCTGAAGCTCTGAATGATGATGACCCCAAAATCCATTTCTCTGGGAGGAGGAGAGCTCAGACCCCAGTTTTGCGAAGCACAATAGACCTCAAGCCTACTATCTAGGTATATGAAAGAACCTGATCGACATTTGAGAGACTATAGGAACCCCAATCTCCACCTCCAACGGGCGCCGCCAGTACTCACGGCCCAGCTTGACTCCAGGCGGCGGGAAGCTGGTCCCCGCGCCGGGGCCGCCGCCGCTTCCTCCGCCGCTGCCGCCGGGGCCACCCCCGGTGCTCGAGGTCCCCACGCCCCCACCCATGGCCCCGACCGACGCCTTC